ATTTCGATCAGGTGACCATGGGGAGGCTGCAATGGTCATTAGTGTGAAAAAATTTTCATGAGTCACTTTTTTCAGTGATGTAACTTCGAATGATCACTAGATGAACTGTTGTAAGTTGAAGACTACCTGATTATGCATTTTCCCCTTCATCCATTATCCCCTTTATTCTTTCATCATTCAGCAGATCATTCTTCTTCATATCTCCCTTTGTGAAAATCAACACAATTCTGTGGTGCTCTGTAACATAGTCCTTTTTAATCTCTTCTAAAGAACTTCCACATCTCCTTTCTTTATATCCACACTCTGTTCACATCTAATGCTTTTCATACAAGATGTTCTTGTCCTGCAGTTATTCTAATTTCACTCTGGTTTCTTTTACTTTTTACTATTTTTCTATGTCCATTTTTCCAAAGATCTGCACTTGACACTAATAATGATCTGTTCAATTCAGAACTTCTAATCACTGCTCTATTCTTCATTAGTTATTTTGATTTCTCATTGTAAACAATTAAAACTAATCATGTTTTAAATTCATATTCATTCTTTGGCTATGAATAAATGGCAGATTTCTAAACCTATACTTAATCCAATTATTTGAAACACACTCCACTTCTCCTCCACTTTGAGCCTGTTATAAAATAACTTGCAGCCATATTTTCCAGCTACAATTCAAAAGTGCTGTTTTCGGACTCAAGTAATTTTAAGCCCTTCAGTAGATCATCCCCAGTGCTTCTATTCATATTCTAGTAGCAGCCCTTGGTCCAATTGGCTGCATGCCTCCTTTCCTCCACTGACTTTGTTTTATGCAGCCAGTTCATCCTGTAGTGCCAGGCTGCTATATTTGCAATTGATTGGTGGGTTTTTAAAAAATATATATAATCTAATTATTCAACAATGGTTGAAGTATCCCCAGCCCTAAAAGCTTAAGATGCATTCAATCTTTACATTTCCCTTTATATTTCTGTCCAGGCTGATGAAACAGGCTACCCTTATTTTGGCACCTCCTGCCTAGAATACTGGAAAGCTACCTTTCCTTTTGCCTCCCCAGTCCTTCCCTTCCCTTTTTAACAAAATAGGAACATTGAGTGCAAAGTAAATCAAGTGTTGCAGTGACCATAATCCAGATTAAACACTGGTCAAACCCTATGCAATCTATACTGTAATTTCATTTGACAACAATTTTTTTCAAAAGTGTTGCTACCTGAAAAATGTTTGGTGATTATCATAGATCCCTTCAAACAGAACACAAATATAATTTCAGAATAATTGTATCACGTAGGAATCTTAAGAACGCTGCATGGAGGGCAAGCATCTTAAATTCCAGGGAGGAGTCTTTAAAATTAGACTTCTATATATTGTTGAATGACAAGTTACTGCATCCCGGATCATTGACTATGCTGATTGGGCCCTTTGGGATCTCAAGTGCCCACCATCCCTCATCATTGGCCATATTGGTTGGACTTGACTGTATATTAAGTTCTTAATGATGAATCACATTGTCTCTCTCTCTTTCATTCAAACACAGCCATATATGCAAAGAATGTTTACTGAATGAGTACTAGTTATCATTTTTTCCACAATTCAAACAACAGTCAATATATATTTACAAATAATAACATAAGGCTGCCCAAGCTGTTTGCTGTTTATCACAAATAAAATGCACAATTTGCTTCTGGTACAAAGTGGATGTTTTTTTTCAGTAGCTTGTGAATTAAATAATCCTTCTTACTTAGTGTTCCATTAGCACTATCTTCTCATTACTACAAGAAAAAAAGGTTAGACATCCAGCTGAATGCCACTGAGCATGTCTAACTCTCTCTCCATTTAGGCCAAGATACTTGTATTGCCATAAGTCTATTCCATGTAGTCTCTATTCAGTAACTTCATCTTGACTAGCAACCCAAAGATGCTTTTCCAAAAGGCAACTGGACTTTCTTGATTTTTTCTTTGAAAATGTTTTGCTTATCATTCAAGAAGCTTCTTCAGTTCTGACTTTCGATTGAGAAGCAGAATATTTTAAAGGATAAAATCAAGAAAGCCCACTTGCCTTTTGGAAAAACACTTTTGGACATCCATAACCTGGATGAGTGAGAATCTCCATAGACACTTGACTAGCAACATTGTAATATGAAAAATCATATTTCCCCCTAATACGTTTGGAGAACTAGATTTCCATCTTGTCCTTTATTCCTTTGTTAACACAAAGCTCCTCCTTTAGTCATGGTCTGCGTAGATATCTGCATGTAACCAAAATTATGAAATATGTGTCATGATATGACACAAGTTCTGTGTCAGCGTTCCAAGTAATGCACCCATGGAAAGCAGAAATCCGAGGCAGGTAGATTCCTCAAAGATCAATTTATTGGATACATCATATTGGCACAACTGGTGAAAACCAATTCTGAAGATTCCTGCAGTTTTCACTCCATTAAAAAGTGAAAGTTTCCCCTTCCCTAATTCATCAGTCACATTGTCCAATAGAGGTGCTGGCTGGTTGCTTGGTTACTCCACTCGTCCTCTTCCCAGCCACCTGTTGGAATGTCCTTGGTTCCCACAGGAAAACTTTTTGTTTTGACTATAAAACCCCAGCTATCTATTTCCCTCCTCCCTGTCCCTTTTTCTTCCTTGTGGCAAACCTGAAGCCTCCAAGATGGCCTTAGCTAGATTTGCTTCAGGGTTGACACTGGTTTTTTGTACCTGCATGAAGGGACAGAAGTTGAATCATAATGTCATAATGGACATTTCAACACTTGCCTTCCTATGAATTAAACACACAAGTGTAAATGAACAGTCTAAACTGTAAGCCTATGACATGCGTGTTAAAGGTAACGTCAGAACATTTTGGGTGACATGGCAGCGTTCATCAACATTCAACAACAACTATGCTCAAAAGCACACACCCTGCTTCCACAATTTTAAAAGGCTAGAGACCATAAAGAATGGACAGTATTGTTGCATATTCTCTGGACCCTCTGGAAGTCACAAAAGAGACTTTGTTAAAGGTAATATAACAATTATATTTTCCTCCTTAAACTAACACTATCGTATCACAATTTTAAGACGTATAAAATTAATACTTTTGTCATCTGGTGATCTGTTGAATTTTCCTCAAGTTTAAATAATTACATTTCACATTTTTGAACCACCTATCTCCTTCAGAGAGACTCTTTTCCCTATATTTGTATCATACCATCATCACTCCATTTTTTATTCTTTCCATATTTCTCACAAAGCAGAAGAGAGAACAGATTTCCATTATTTAATTTGGAAAAGAAGAGGAATATTTATGCTATTTTCCACTAACTATACTCTAAAATACCTAGAATGCGTATGTTGGGGGAAGGAGGATGGACTGATAAAAACAGTGTTATGATGCAAGGCTTGCTCCTTTCATACAAGTATCATGCATCATACACATGTTCAAAAGGGATGGAGCTTGTATCATGACCCTGTGATTTTTTGTCATTGTCATTTTCATCACTGAAGTGTCCAGAAAATGTGGGGTTGAATTGGGCCTTTGTTACTTCTTTGCCAATTTTCCTGTAGTAGTCAGTTTCAGTCATTCTCCAGCCTTTCCTTGAAAACAGGTGGTTGCTCAGCAGTTAATCAATCGTAACTATCTTACCCAACTTGATCTAGTTGGTTCCACAAATTGGCAGGTTCTGCCTCACTCTTCTCTTGCCTGTTTTTCCCCCCAGGTGTGCTATCTTATATTATTTTAAATTGAAGTTAATCTCAAATGAAATTTTGGAGGAGAAACAAATCAACAAGCTTTGTGAAATCAGATAAGAGTCCTGAGATATGTGTCCCTTCCTATTTACTGTATACTGAAAGGTTTTGGGTTGAAGATGTTTTCTTTGTGGCTGATAATGTGCTGAAAAAAACAGATGACAATATCAGTTCCCATGCCTATGATGAGGGACAGGCTAGATAATAAACAATATAATTCAACAGTTACTCAAGAGAGATGCAGTAGAACTAGGATAAATATTGGCAGTAGGGAGAGAAGATATTGCCCTCGTATTACTGGTCTGCAACCCCCGTGGCTTTTCCCCCAAACCCACATAACCTCCCCCACCCTCAGAACCCCTTAAAAGTCTATTTAAAAAAGTCTTTAAAAAACCCCTCAATCCCCTTTTTGCGACATGCCACCTCTCAGGGTCCCAAGATCCGTCATTAAGGTGGGCCCTCGATAACATAGAGGGCCAGGCCTGCGAGAGGGGGGAATCTTGCAGCGCAAGAAGCTTTGCCTGATACGCCAGTTGCGCCCCTTTCTGGACCGGGACTCCCTACGCACGGTCACTCAAGCACTCGTCACTTCTCGTCTGGACTATTGTAACGCTCTCTACATGGGGCTCCCCTTGGGGCGCACCGGGAGGCTCCAACTGGTGCAGAATGCGGCTGCGCGGGGGATTATGGGAGCGACGGGGTGCTCCCATGTGACTCCTCTCCTGCGCGAGCTGCATTGGCTTCCGGTGGACTTCCGGGTGCGCTTCAAGGTGTTGGTGATCACCTTTAAAGCGCTCCATGGCTTAGGGCCAGGGTACTTACGGGACCGCCTTCTGCCACCAATAGCCTCCCACCGGCCGGTTCGCTCCCACAGAGAGGGCCTCCTCAGGGTGCTGTCGGCCAGACAATGCTGGCTGACGACCCCCAGGAGGAGAGCCTTCTCTGTGGTGGCACCTACCCTATGGAACAATCTACCCCCAGAGATACGAGTGATCTCCGACCTCTGGATTTTTCGTCGGGCCCTAAAAACTTATTTTTTTCAGCTAGCCGGTCTGTCCTGATTTTAGGGTTAGTTTTAAAATTTTAATATTTATTTTAATTGACAAGTTTTAAATTATGGGCCAAATTTATAAATTATTTTAACTTTATTTTTTAACTGTGATGTTTGTATAGATGTTTTTTATCTGGCTGTTCACCGCCCTGAGTCCGAAAGGAGAAGGGCGGTATAGAAATTCGAATAAATGAAATGAAATGAAATTACTTTGAAACAATTCAAGGAAGAATTAATAATATTTTTATTGAATAATCAAGAAACATTTTCTCAAATCTCTCTCTCTATAAGAAGTCTGAACGTTCCTTTTAGATTATTTCAGAAGTATGCAATATTTGGGGGAAAAAATAGTGTATCTTTATTTGACTTGTTTAATCAGCTCTTATAATAAATGGGTATATGGGAGGAAGGAAGGAAGTTACTTCTTGTAATGTTCTTTTACATGTTTTCTTTTTACTATTTCCTAGCAGATTACAAATATACAATAAAACCAAAGTACTTACTGTACATATTTTTTACATATAAAATAGCAGTGTATCACTGCTATTTTCAAAAAGTTTCAAAGAGCACCCAATTAAGCTGCTGCTAAAGCATAGAAGAAACCAAAGGAAACATGTTACATTATAATGAAAGTTTTAGTGGTATTAGATAAATAGATGATGGCCAACTTAGATGAAATTGACGTGTTCCACAAATTCACAAACAATAGTTATTTCACTATCTATTTTGTCATGAAGACTGAATAGGGACTCCATGATTCGACGTAAGGTTAGTCTGGTTGTACAGATAGTCCTCAACTTACAACCACAATTGAGTCCAAAATTTATGTTGCTAAGTGAGAAATTTGTGAAGTGAGTTTTGCCCAATTTTACTTTTCATGCCACATTTGTTAAGTGAATCACTGCATCTGTTAAGTTACGATTATTAAGTTAATATGGCATCCCCCTTGACTTGTTCAAAGGTTGCAAAAGGAGATCACATGATCCCGGGACACTGCAACCTTCATAAATATGAAGCATTTGTTGAGTATCCAAATGTAAATCACATGACCATGGGGATGCTGTATCGGTCATAAGTGTGAGAAAGGATCATAAGTCACTTTTTTCAGTGCCGTTGTAACTTTGAATGGTCACTAAACAAGATGTTACAAGTTGAGGACTACCTGTATTATTTTCTGACTGCCTACTAGTAGCAACTACATACTAAGCAAGATGAGTTTCGGTTGATGTAGTATGACCTTAATCTTAGCAACTAAAAGTCAGAGTAAAAACAAAATTAAGCTTATTTCTTCTGATTTGCTGTTCTAGAACATTTGCTATATCGCCATGTGGGACATTATCTATTCTATGCTATATCCCATGTAAATCTTAAACTTCCTCTATGTTGCACATTATATAGCCACTTATTGGGATAAGTACAACTGAAAAAATAGGCAAGTATTGGTTTGAACTGTAACCTTTGGAAGGATCAAATCAAGATGGACTGCCTTTCAAAGACAAACCTGAAGTTTTCTTAGAATCATGCAGCTAAAATGCAAATGAAAAAATGGTGTTTCTCCAGATATTATTGAACTCGTTTCTACCGCTATCAACTTGGCTAATGGCCATCCTTCTTAACAACAACTCTACTCCTGAATTAGAAGAATAATTATGTTTCAGATCCATTATCCATTTCCTCCACTATTTTAGCTACTGAGACTAAGAGTGATCTGAAATCATTTTGTTTTTGGAAAAAAAATCTTTGTGAACATTGCTTTTGTAAGAATAAATATTTGCTTAGCCATGTTTCAGAATTTTCTGCGAAGTAATGTCTGGCAAAATAAGATAATATCAGCATCAGCTGTGAATTTTGCCAATGGCTTTCATTCTTAGTTTTTTTTAAAAAAAATCTTATCTATGTTTTGACTTGTCTCAAGATCTCTACCAGGCAGAAACAATAAGGGAGAACCATCTATCTACATAAAGTACAAGGTTGAGTATATATACTCCTGGTAATTAAGAAGCCTTAGGAGACAGCAGCTAGTGAGATAATTAGAGTATGCTCTGAAGTAGAGAACAAGCAGTTCATTAAATATGAAACACTACTCCACAGTGTCAAAGGCTTAGTCTGAAAGCAAGGAGCTAAGTGTATTTGGCTGATCTTTCCAACACAAATCATTGTTGCTCTTCCATCCCCAAAACCTAAGCTGTCTTAATTCCAACGTGTGTGTATGTTTAAATTTTGAATCACCAGCCTGCTGCTTTTAAAATCAATGAGATTTTACCTGCGCACAAAATTTTTAGCTGAGGCCAAAGGTGACAGTTCCCAACCTGTTGTGGGGTGAGCATTGGAGGTCCAAAGGGAACAGTAGATATTCTTTGATAAGTGGGATATTTTTGAAATAGTAAAATAATTCCATATACCTCTTACATTTATTTATTTAGAAAATTTATATTGCCACCAACTCACACATGGCAACTCATATTTTATGTTATATTATTCCTTGAAAAAAGTAGTGTGTTTGTTTATAAGCAAAATATTAGTTGCTTTTTAAACGCCTCTTGATATGTAAGTTTTATTTCTAACAATTTAGAGTTATATGAAAAATGTTTGCTTACAGAATATTCTATAAACAAAAAGAAAATGTTGAAAATAGGTGGTACAAGACATCACTGTAGTTGACAAGGGGATTCATACATCACATTAAGGTTCAATTTTAAAACCATTGTTTGTTCTCTAAGACACAGTTAGCTGGGCTCATATATCATGCTAAACCATAAACAGTGATTTGCAAAACACAAGAGATAGGTTTGCACATTACATTTAGCAAAGCATATTAAACAACAAAGCATATTGTGGTTTAGTGCAATGTATTAATGTTTGGGTGAGGAGTTGACTAAAAGAAAAAGAAACCTACACCTGTTCTGGACCAGTAGGTCATTGATATGTGTTTGTCCACCTATGAAGGTCTTTTTTGACAAAGGAAAAGGACAGACTTTTGAACAATATGTCAAAACTCATGGAATTGTTAATATGTTTTCCTTCCTCCCTCCCTCCCTGTCTTCTTATTGTAAGTCTGAAACTATATTATTTCATTTTCTCTATTATATGTATGAGTGCTTTTTTTCTATTAATTAAACATAAAAGCATTAACTATAGTTGTGTGAACGTTATCCAGAAAAAATAACCTAATTAAGTCTTACAATCATATTTTTTCTATGAACTTCCTAATGTACAGTTGGTAAGAATAGCAAAAATTGATGAAACAACATTGTTCATGCCTTAAGGTGTATGAAATCCATTTATATATGAATAGATCTCATAGCTAGTACCATTCATGGATCTAACAAGCTTCAAACCACTCTAGAAAAAAATTGAGCCCCATGTTTATTATTCAATGACATCACTGGCCAGTTTTTGTAATGCCAGATCTTATCTTCCTTCTGGGATGATAAAGTTTTATCCCATAATAATAAAAGTAAAAAAGCATGACAAGTTAGGACCTGGCACAATGGAAAGTACCAATGACATCATCAACTGATTGGCAGGGGACACAATTTGCTATCTGCATAGGTCTGAAACCACATCTGGCAACGCTTAATTAAAATAACCACATGGTGAAGCCAATCAAATGTGTTTTGCTCCAGAAAAAAGAATGCTGACATGATTGTCATGATATTCAGGTGGGTTACAAATAGTCCTCAAATACAAGACATTTGTTTAGAATAAACAATTGCACTGTTCTTAAGATTACAACTTCTGGCATTATTTACAGAGTACAAAATAATTAGAATCTACTAGCTGAAAATAATACACATTCCAATATCACTCTTTTTCTGTCTCTCTTCCACCCTTCCCCAATTTCAGGGGACTTGAAATACAATCCAGTTAAATAATGTTGCATCCCACAGATGTTTGAAGGTTAACTACGTTATCTTAAAAAGTTTAAGGTCACATCCATGAAACTTTCCTCCTTTATGTTAATAATCTGGCAGATTGTTATTAGAGAGGCTAATTTGGTCAAGGCCATATGATATACTTTACGGAGAAGCTGATACAGTATGAATGCTCCCTGGCCCAAGTCAATACTGAAATCCAGGGTACTGTGGTCCAAGCGCACACCATATCACTCTGATTCTAACTCTAAATATAGTAGTGAGTGTGATATACAAGTTTAGGGCAGCCTTTACTTTGCAGTCCAATTTTACTGTAGTAATTTGTACTTTTTAATAGATCCTTTTTAAAATGCAAACTAGCATGATGCCTACAGTAAGGAAAACTGTTACAAATAGATCTGGAGCTGAATCTTGTTTCTGAATACTACTAGCACATTTAAAATTTGGATATAACTTGCAAGAGTGAAACTGACAGTGACTGCTGTGTGTCATACATTAAATATCTTCATTCAGTACATATTTCTGTTGATAGTCTACAGCAGGAAGTAGCAGAACATCCTGTTTCTGAAAGAGAAAAACAATTTTTCAGGCTTTAAAGTACTACATCCAAATCTTTAGATTCAACTGAATAGAATCAATTGACATACAGAATACCTAAAAAGTATGAAGAAAGTAGAGAACATAAAAATTTCATATGATGTTATTTGAAAGTGATAGGAAATACTCTGTCAGTGCAACTCACTCTGATATTGCCTTTATTTCTTCTTCAGCCCAAGAAAAGTGAGATAATCTACATTGTTAGCTGTTTTGAAAATTATCCAGAAGTAATTTGTCCAAGCACAGTGTCCCACTCCTATTTATTAAGATAGACCATTGTTTTGGGCTTCCATAGAAGCCTGAAAAAATTGTAATAGGTTAAAGATGTTTATGATTTACAAATTGGCCACAATTCATTTTAGATTTAGGCAGTAATCTGAAAAAAAAAAAAAAAGAGAAGCTACTGTAGAAGTGTGACACTTGCATGAAAACTTAAAGTCTTTTTTTTTTCCAAATCATTTTTAAAAATTGCAGAGAGGTGACATTTTCCCCCTAACACGGACAAAATCCAATCACAGTTTCATAATGGATAAGAATCTGTTAGGCCTTATTTCTCATTGCTTTGGAGGGAAGTCAGATGACTGACAGTGACTGAAACCACAAGCTATAATAGGGGCATCATGGAGATCACCAGTTTCATGCTTGTATTGTTTAATCTGATTTACAGGTAATATTAGCAAACAAAATTAAAAATCACATGGTAGCAGAAAGCATCTAAAACTTACAGTATTGCAGTAGTTCAATGCACTATAAGAAATAAATTATTGTTTTTTTAAAACACTGTTGAAAATGTTATAAACAAATACTATTTTTTAAATACAATGGATAGGACCTAAAGAATAGCCTGCTTGCACCATAAAATCTTCAAACATGGTTCTTAATACCAGCCCTTCCATCATGGCAAACTGCTGCTGAAATTATGGGTAATTTTGAAAGCAGTTTGTCATGTGGCATGTGTGTGTGTGTTTCAAAACAAGTATTTTTTTTTCTTAGCTGCTATATACAGCTTAGCAATTTATATTGTTAAGTGAAACATTTGTTAAGTGAATTTGCCCCATGTTACGACCTTTCTTGCCACAGTTGTTAAATGAATCATTGCATTTAAATTGGTAACATGACTGTTAATCTGAATCGGGCTTCCCCATTGACTTTGTTTGTCAGGTCGCAAAAGCTGATGACCCCAGGATACTGCAACCGTCATAAATGTGAACCAGTTGCCAAGCATCTGAATTTTGATCATGTGACCATGAGGATGCTGCAATGGTCATAAGTGTGAAAAGCAGTCATAAGTCACTTTTTTCAGTGCTGTTGTAACTTTGAATAGTCACTAAACGAACTGTTGTAAATCAAGGACTACCTGTATTTTATTTTTTGTATTGTTGTTATGTCATCGCTCCCGGGTAAACAAGAAAGGAAACATGATTTGATGAGCTAAATCTCCTTTATTGTAAGACTACATTAACAGAAACTTTCAAGTCTGAAAGTACAAACTTCCCACTGTTATTTTTAACTGCTTGATCCATTAGGGTGAGTCCTTTATAACTTTTTTCCCCTGATTGTTAAGTCACCGGGGGGTTTTGCCTCCCTTGTCTGATTGTTTCCTAGGCAGCATGTCTTCCCTCCTTTCCCCAAGGTCATTCCCACATTGTTTTACTTTATTTTAATTTTGTTTGCTGCCCAGAATAATTTGTTTGAGATGAGTTGCTGTACAAATTGAATGAATGAAAGAAAGAAAGAGAGAGAGGTGGGGGGGAGGAATTGCGGTAAAATATCTTTTTTTACAGTATTTATTCCAGAGCAGCAATTGAGCTGCCTACAGAACTACAGATGACAAATGGCATTGTAGTGGCATAGAAAAAATCTTGGTTTCATGTAGTCATTGTCTGTAAGCTAATTATGGAATGTAACAGATAGTTTGAAAAACAACACAATAAGCAACACATTTCACACCTTTGTGAAATAACTATAGCATTCTATATCAAGTTCCACTTGTAAAAATAGAATAACCAAATGAACACAACCCTACCAGATATGTTACACTGAATATGCTCTGTTGGAAAGATTTCTAGTTGAACTAAACAAGATTTATTTCCATAAAATGAGATTAGGTACAAAATTTAAAATACTTTATGAAATAAAATTATTTATCACACTAACAAGGAGAGGTAGAAAATTAAATTGGTCCTTGGCTAGATTAAATTGCACATACCAATTTAATCTAGTTACTTCCTTCAGATGTTAATTTTCACTTTAAACCTATTAATAAACACTAGCTTGTTCTATTTTAAAATCTCTTTTAAAATGACATATCTCATACAAAAGCAGGCAAAAAACAATTGATTCTATTTAACTGAAGTCAATGACAGAAGGATCTTCTGCAGGTTTATGAACCACCCAACATGAAGAGAAGAAATAGGGACATTAACAAGAAAAATTAGACCTTAGCCTCTGACTTTTCTTCCATTAACTTTCACCAGACAACCTTTTTGGCGTAGGTTAAGGCAGCTTTCTACAAACTTAGTATTCTCCAGATATGCTGACTTCAACCCCAGTACAGGTAGACTTTGACTTACAACAATTCATTTAGTGACCCTTTGAAGTTATAACAACACTGAAAAAAGTGACTTACAACCATTTTTCACACCTGTGACCATTGCATCCCCATGTTCAGATGATCAGAATTCAGATGCTTGGCAATTCACTCATATTCATGACTGTTGCAGTGTTCCGGGGTGATGTGATCACCTTTTGCAACCTTCTGACAAGAAAAGTCAATGGGGAAGGCAGATTCATTTAACAACTGTGTTACTAACTGAACAACTGTAGTGATTCACTTAACAACCGTGCTGTAAAATGGAGCAAAACTAACTTAACAAATGTCTCACTTAACATATATTTTGGGCTTAATTGTGGTCGTAAATCGAGAACCTGTACTTTCAGCAATAAACTTGCTGGCTGGGGAATTCTGGACATTGCAATTTACACATTTGGGAAACGTACTTTATTATTTAGAGAAGGCTGGGCTAAGGCTTCTTTTTTTTTACATTGTTAATGTTCTGAGCCTTAAACTGTTTAAATCTGTCTCCCCCCTTTGTAACACTTTTAGTGTGAAACGCCTAGGGTATCACTTCTATATGCTATACAAAAATATAGAAACATTTAATCCAAATGAAGTTTATCTACTGGTATGTAATTGATCTTAATTTTATTATGTTCTGAGTATTAAGGCAATATAAACTCAAATTATTGAAATTTACTTTACTGCAAACCAATATGAAAAGTATCAATTTTATATGCAGTTTCAACAGATAAACTAGAAGATTCTTTGCACATTTCTTCTGCATTTTTACAAGGTAATTTTTAACAGGAAAAACTTGATAAAAATTGCTATTGCTCATTCTATCCTAGGCTTGCTAAAACTTCTGTTTACTATGATTCCACAGATGTTAAATCATTGTATTATTGATCTTGGCTTAGGGTTGCATAGATCTATGATTTATGCAACAAGCTCTGATTTAAAAAAAAAAAACTTGTGTGAATTCAGCCAATTCGTTGATAAGGCAACTTAACTCAAAGCACCTCTTAGTCAATGCACCACCCGGCTTATAGGCATATCAAGATGAACAGGAAATGTTAGTTCAAATGTTAATAACGCAACAGTTAAAAAACTAAATGGAAGTGATCATGGCCTAAGATCATGCAGAGTTTTGGTGTCATACCTGATAGGCCTGGAACATCCTGAACTTTCAAATACTCCCCAAAGTACATAACTCATCTGAAAAGCTGGGTCTATGCTGAAAGGTGTCATTGTTTTCTGTATTCAAAACCGCAAGGATTTACTTTCAAACCGCGCGGCATGCCATCTCACCCAGCTTATACGTGGGGCGTAATGTTATTCCTCCACAGATTTATGGTGACAGAACTCGCGTTCCCTTAGTTAGAAAAGCGTTTCATCTTGAGACAGACAGAGAGGGAGGGAGGGAGGGAGACAGAGCGCCAATGTGCTTATGATCATCGGGTCTTTTAAATGGTTGGGCAAAACTGAGCGTCTTTAGTCGTCCAAGGAAAGGAAATCGATGAATCACACCGATTGGGTTTCCATTTCTCTTTTGTTAACGATACGTGCAATGGCATCTTTTCCTATCTGCCTTCTTGCTTCGGTCACGGCTTCTTTCGTTGCTTTTTTGTTTTTTTTCCCCTTTCCCCTGTTCCAAGACACCGGTTTACGTCCCAGCGTTAAGTCGCAAAGGAAGTTTCCTCTCGGCGAACCGCCCCGCCAAGACGACGGCCGCGGACGGGCTGGGGTGCGCGCGCCCTCTTTCCGTCGCAGGGAGTGGCGGCGGCGGCGGCGGCGGCGTCCCTCCCAGTCCCTCCTCTCTGGCTGGGGAGCTTTGCGGAGAGGAGGAGGGTGAGCTGTGGGAGGGTCTCCATTGAAATAAACAACCAGCCAGTGATTAAAACGGGAACATGGCGGCCGCGGAAGACTCAGCAGCTCCAGCTTCCTCTTACAAAGCAAAGGTCAGCGCTGGCGGCAGCTTGAGCGAGAAGAGCCGGAGACTTTACTGACCTCGGTAAATAGAAGCGGCTGTGCGCCTCGGCCGCCGGGCCCCTTCTCTGCGGAACAGGCTGGATGGGGGGTGGGGGGGGAGGGGGAGGTGGATAGCAAGAGGGGCGCTCCCGGCTGCGCGCTGTCTGATAACCCGAGCTTGCGCGCGGCGCTGCCGGGGAAGGCGAAGGAACTGCCGGAGCTGATGCCGGGAAGACCAAAACGGGGGGAGACGACCTGGCAGCCAGACTGGTTCTTCTCCTGCTGCCCCCCCTTCCCCCCGCAACTTGAGGGGCTTTGCACCCGAAAGGGGGAGGTGTCCGTCTGGTTGTCTGCTGCTCCTTAATGAGGGGCGTGCGGTTCCCTCGAGCGGGGAATGAATAATGGAAAGGGGAGCGAAGTGATCTGAAGTTGGGCTTTAACATCTTCCTCTCCTGCTTTCTCTTTAAAGAGAAGGGGGCGTCTCGGCCGTCTGGCTCGAAGGGGTGGGAGAAGAATAGGGGAGCCGCCTCGGGAAACGGGGGTGCGCCTCTGGCAGGGAAAGAACTGGCTGCGCCTCCTCCTCCTCCTCTTCTTCCTCTCAGGGGAGGGTCGTTCCGCGCAGAAGAGATTTTAGGGGTGGCAGCTGAAAGCGCGCCCGCCTCTCTCCGAAGGTTTCCCCAGGGACCCCCCTCCCCATCCTGCTGTCCCCCGGCAAGTGTGAGGGGGGACCGAGCCTCTCCAGGAAGGGGAGGTGTGCAAGGGGCGGCTACGGCGACGGGCTGTCGCGGTGCAAGTTGCCTCGGAGGAAAATTGAGTTGGGGCGGCAAAACTCTGCTCCCTTCCCGGGGCTTTTGTTGTGGTTTAACTTCTCCAACTTTGTGCGCGGCGGCGCGGCCTTCGCAATCCCCCTTTCCCGGAACCCGACTAGGCCCTGCCTGCTCGCCGCTGGGTGCGAGCGCAGCCTGGGGAGCCGCATTGCTGCTTCGTGTGCCTGGGTGGGTGGGTGGGGGAGGGGACGGCGGTAGTAGTGGCGGAGGCGGCTCCGGCAGCTCCTCAGCTGCGCTGTCGTCCTCTCCGCTGGGCGGCCTAAAGCAGCCGGGTTGCTGGCCGGTGGGTTGAAGGCTTCCTGGGCGCCTCGGCTTTCAGAGCAGCCGGGTGTTCGGCGCCTCTTTCCTCTCTCTCTCTTCCCTGTCCGTCTGGGCGGAATCGATCGTACTGTGTACAATTATGTGGGAATAGAGATGGAAGCGCGGGGAGAAGCGTCACCCTGCTTTCTATTTGGGACGCGTTTGGTTTAATGGGTCAAAGAGAAAACCGTATTTCCACCTTCCCTCCTCTTCATTGTATTTGGAGAATTGCGTACGCCTCCTCTTTTCCCGTGTGGCAGTGAGGATGTGCGCCTAATCCCTTTTCCACCTGCTCCCTGAGCTTTCCTTGTATAAGGGAGGGTGCTGGGACACAAACAGCACAATTTTGCCGTAGCTTTCTATGGAAGGTGCACGCAGTACCTAAGGCCCTGATTTCAAGAAGCACGGCGATGGCGTTTTTGCTTCCTGATAGGCAGGAGCTTTTTTATTCCTTGCGCCTGCTGTTGCAAAGGCATCCAGGGTTATTGGTTGTCTTGGTAACTTTGACTTTGTTCCTGTAGTATCTATTTTTCATCTATGCCACTTTCCACATATTGTTGTCATCGGCCTGATACTGTGGCTTTCTTAGGCTCATTGTATTGTATAAAAGTAGATTAAAGCAAAGTTGAATAATAAAAAATGGAATAATAAATTCATAATTCTTGTTTATCTATAAATCACATACTTATACTTCTTTCAATGACAGATTTGTTTAGGGGACTGTAAACATGTTACTACAGAGCATGGTAGAGGACAGGGTCCTGATGGGTCAGACATGACTTAGCAACTAACAACAAAAAATGAATATATTATGAATATAATGCTGAAACTTTCATGAAAAGATAATATTACCAATTTTTTTTAACTTCTTCATTAAAAACAGTTCATTAATTTAGAATTTTCATAAGAAAAGCTGCTTTTGGTTACTAAAGAGTTGACACTGACTTTATGTGCATAATAAAAAATTTAGAGCTTTAACTGGGACAGTCTCTGAAATTATATCAAAATTCTGAATACCCTAAATTACTAATTTTTAAGTGAATGTGAAGAAAAGTATACATAGAAACATAGAATACTATGTGCATAAATGTTCAAGTAATTCTGATTTCATTATGCTTTAAACATCCTTTTTTAAAAGGAAAGCTGGACAGTAAAGGTGTTTTAAAAAAATAAAATAGATTTACAACTTTATTTGTAATTTGTGTATGTAAAAGCTACTTATCTACACTAAATCTATCTACTGGGCTTCTAAGGCAGTAGCTCAACTTTAGCCAATACAAATATATTATGTGGCATACAAGACTATTGATACTTAGATTACCGAATAACCAGTTCTTAATTACTTGTTCCATTGTGATTTACTGTGTTTCTTAATACAGTGACAAAATTTACAAAAACTGATTAGTAAAAATGTTGCTCTGTAAGAATCTTTTTTCTAGTGGCTGCAAAGTACTTATTTTCTTGTTCAGATGTTGTTGTTTTTTTGTATAGTAATGATTTTGGTAGCAGTAACACCAAACATCCCTTGCTATTTGTGTTTTAAGTGTGCAGTAGTACATGAAAGATGATTACATAATAAAATTACCTGCTTCTAAATTGTTGGAGGCATTATGTTGATAGATTTATCTTTTTAGATTTGTAAATAGATTTATAGGTAGTAGCTATAGATTTAACTCCTGAATCTCATTATTAAAACTCATTTTCAATAATGAGGATTAAACTGTAAAGCAAAATCTGCTTCTTTGTGGCCTACTAAGGATGCTCTCATTGATTCTTAAGTTTCTCTTGGGTAACCAATATGCTCAGTGTTACAAGTTGCCATATAAATTCTAGGATTTTTGTGATACTGTATATCATGGGTGTCCAACCTTTTGGCTTGCCTGGGTCTCATTGAGTGAAGAGGAATTGTCATGGGCCACAAATACAATATATAATATAGTTAATGTATATAAATAACAAACTTCCTTTAAAAGTTTATGATCTACTGAGCTCTCATTACTAGCTGTCCAGGGTTATATGTGGGTTGGACAAACCTGTTGTATACTATCTTTTATTTCAGAAGAGGACTCCAGTGGGGAATAGCTGACATGGAATCAATAATTAAATTTGATTGTATTCACGGTGGTCTGACTAAGAAAATGATAGTGTCATATCTTTCTATTTATTGTTTATTAATTTATATCATGCCATCCGTCTAGGACCGTGATGTTTCTGGCGCCTTCGTGTGCTGGCCGGTGTGCATTTGCACTCCGGTTTCAGCTCTTGCTTCAAAAATGTTCCTTGGTTTCTTATATCCCTATGCACAGATAATATTTTCAGCGGGATGTTGGTGAAGTGGCTATATAGGCACTTAGATATGGAAATGATTGGGAAGATTTCAGAAGAGCTGTGCTGAACCTTTCAAAGAACACAGCTGCTTTAAAACTACAACGACTGCAGTTTTTTTACATACAAATGTTTCAGAAAACAGTTCTTTAAATACTTTAAATACTTTGCCTAGCCTGCCATAAATTAACTTATATATTGCAAATTTACATATTGCATTTATAGGCTTAGTTATTATATGACATGTAGGTTGCTTCTAATATCTTTAACATTTGCTATAGTCACTATTCACTTTAACCTTTAGATAATTGTGGAATGTTTGACAATCTAGAATGCTAAAAACATGCTTTTTCTGATGGGACAATAATTCCAGTGTTTGAGTGGAAAAATAATATAAGTGATAGTCACGCTAAATGAAGTTGATAAAATGGGTTTAAAATAGACTTCGTTGTAGCTGTTCTACAATGTTCATTGTCTTCTGTCACCTTTTGTTGATGATCTTGCATCCATGTTGACATCTGTTGTAGTTTGTAGCTATAATGAACTCTACCAGCGTGGATTCGTAATGCAGAAATTTTGAGATTTGATCCACAAGGAAAATGTATGTGTTCTAAAATATTTTATAAATATTGTGCTCTAAATAAATTGACTTGCACATGTTTAATCCTCTTTACTTAACAGTCTAAAATCTATTTGTCTATTTGACAAGTTCTTGGTGTTCCTTTCTCTGTTCTTTCTTGTATTAAAGAAAGATTCCAATAATACTAGATGTGCTAACTTTTTCTTGAGAATTAAAATCTAGGTATGTTTTCCAGTTATGGTTCATAAATATTTTTATTGCTTTCATATCAAGCATTGAAGAGGCAAATAACATGCTTTTAAAATAATATGATTATAGCAAATTTGTGAGCCACCAAGATTTTTCTGTGATTGCAGCAGCACACAAATTTAATCAATAGTACAATATGTGTGAGTGAGTGAGATAAGTAAGGCTTCCTCATTTGCACCATATAATAAAATCTTACTAGGTTAACACTATTTGTATGAAACAGAAGATCCACTATCTGATTATATTCTTTGACCACCTTGGATAGTTGCAGATACTAGGCTGGTGAAAGAAATATGGCTACAGTAAAAAAGAATTATTTGAAAATGTGTGTATCTATAAAAAAATGGGTATGGTTGATTATAGCTGTATAATTTGCTCTCAGGTGCATATTATCTTTTACAGTGGGCAATTTTAATTTTACCAAAAATGTTTTGACTTGGAAATAAAGATAATAAATTTTAAGTGTAGCATACTAGTAATATGTTCTGTTGATTCTTCCAAAATATTATTCACTTAGGAAATGAAAGTGAATCTCTTAGCAGTTACATGTAAATTAAAA